TATATATATATATATATATATATAAACACATTAGAACTGTGTCAAAATAGTCATAACTATTTACACAGGGTCATTTTAGACCCGGTCTATAAAAGTGTCAAATTGATCCTGAGACTGCCTAAATTAATCTTTATGGAGGATTATTAGAGCTTTAATTTAAGAAGTTCTTTAATTTTTGGAGTAAATGACCCGATATTTACAAGTTTGGCACTTTGCTCGTTGATATTCAGAAGTTTGCTTTTCCGACGTCTGATTTCCCCGGCGAAACCATTGCGCCGTCGATTCTCTCCTCACCGGCGTTTTCCCCATTGGACTGCAAATGGAGGCGCCGCCATTCTCCGCCGCAGGTAGTTATCGTGCTCTTCTCCCTCGTCCTCTCCCTCGTTGCTGTGCAGCTGGGTATCCGAGAAAACCCTACTTTGAGCGCAGGAGCTCTCTCTTTGTTCGCGCCTTCTCCGAGGACTCTAGTAAGCATTGTGTCATGGATTCCCATTTCCTTCATCGGAAGACGGGTCTGATCACATATTTTCGCTTCTCTTATAGCTGTCACTCTTCTCGACTACGGCGCGGGAAATGTTCGAAGCGTGCGGAACGCCATCCGGCATCTGGGCTTTGACGTCAAAGACGTAAAGTTTCTCTTTAATCTTAGTCTTTCTTATGTTCTAAATCCATTTTGTAATGTATGCTTAGTACGCTGCTTTATGTTAAAAGGTTTACTGATTTATATAGTGTTCTTTGGTCGCTGCTTGCCTCACGTAGTCCGGAAGGCAGTACATCTTGACAGCATGAGACATGGTGAAGGGTTTAACCTAACTTTAGAGATAAATCTCAAATTTTGATATAAATGAAATCCGTTCTGTTCTCATAAGAGAGAAGTTTTATATACCGATAATTGTTATAATAACATGTTAATGCTACATTGACAAAAAACTACTCAATTCCAAAACAAGTATAATTACAAGCTAGAACTTAAACTTAAGTTCTCATACGGTAACACTTGCTACAAGCTCGCTCTTATAATAAAGTTCCACTTAACAATTTGGCAGAATTTGTCATTAAAAAGTTTTGACATTTTAAAATTAATAAGTATTTCTTACTTATTCATTATCATTTATATGTAGAATTTTGAACCATATATGTCAAAACCATAATATCTACGTGCAACATTTCTGGCATATTGGTATATATGGAAAGACGATTCATCAAATTTTTATCATATTATTTTTATGTTTGTATATATCTTTAGTCAGTTTATTATGACAAATCAATATTAGAAAGTTGTACATTAACAATAAAATTTCTGTAATTTTCGAAAAGTCATCACTTTGTGAACTTGTCAACTTAATTAACTAATATGCACAAGCGTCTACATACATGCAAATTCATTTTAAACAAACACACATAGTTTATCCATATATATTCCAAACCAGTATTCAAAAGGTATTTTATAATCAATATGATTTGTGCTATCTTCGTGATAAAAATAAGAGTCGCATGAGTGAAAATTTATCATCGAACTAAAGCAATATACATGGGGATAATTTGGTACCATATGGATTATTTTAAGAATATAGGATTTCTGTTGCAACTAAAAATGGCAAGCTATTTACATCATATGATCTTCTAAAATGAAAATTACATACAATATATGTAAATATATATGACAATAACTGCATGTTAAAGTATCACGAGCTATGTATAAAATATTTGAGAACTTATACAAGTATCTAGGATAATACCTTTAACAAATAATTTTTTTCTTCAATAAAAATAGGTTTCTTGCTTTGAGGTGAGTACTACAAAACTTCACATTTATTTGAGATTGAACCAATGAAATTTGGTAAAAAATCAACTTGAAGGTCCTCACATTAAGAATCATAAATCAATCACATAAGCATTTATAGGATTGATAGCAAAATAAAGTAGGTGCAAAATAAATTTTTTATAAGTTACCCCCATAATCAATCAAGATTAATTAATACCATTATGTAATAAAATTTATTAATACTGTCATTGTCTGGTCCCAATTCTTAGATATGAAAAGTGGGGGTTGTGTTATGCAATTGATAATCAACGTAAAACTTGTCAAAAAAACATGACATCATTTAAATTCTTATGTAAATGTTAGGGCATCCTTTAAAAGAGACATGCTAGATGGTCTAAATACAGCGAAAAGTGTGCAAGGATCACTATACTAGCACCCGAGTGTTGTGTCAAATAAACAAGAGTTCTCATATTACGGACGGACGCAGGTAAAGAAGTTAGTATATGAAACTAATATTACGATAAAATCTTGAAATATAAGCACTCCCACAGGTTAATTAATGAAATTATTAATGAAATTAATTGTTATTATGATTTATAGGAAGATAGATGTCCTATGTATTCAAGAGACTAAATGAGTTGGAGAAAAAACTAAGGTGTTTGATAGCTTAGGTTTTAAACTTTAATATTTAGATAGGAGCCACACTAGAAATGGTGTAAATATAATTATAAATGAGAGTTTGAAAGAAAATATTATAAAAATTATAGCCCTAAACTTTTTGTTGATACTCATATTTTTAATGTTATAAGTGCTCATGCTCCTCAAGTAGGTTTAGCCATATGTTCAAAAAAAAATTCTGAAATGACATAAAAAAATTAATACAAATGATATTTTTTGAAGAAAGATCTTTTACTGGAGGAGATTTAAATTAACATGTTGGTACAATGGTAGGTTTTGGAGTGATTAATGAAGAAAGTAGAACCATATTAAATTTTTCTTTATTGTATAACTTTGTTATTTTTAATATTTTATTTAATAAAAAAGATGAACATATTATTACTTATAAGAATGGATATAATAAAACACTAATTGATTATTTTTTATAAGAAAAAAAAGATCATTGAGAATGTAAAGATTGCAATGCCATTCGAAGTGAAAATTTTAGCGCTCAACATCGATTATTAGTTCTGATTTTTAAAATGAAGAGTTGAAAGATAAAAAATAACATAAAATATTGTCATAGAATTAGATGTAGGTACTTAATAAATAAATAAAGTTATTTTATGAGCAAAATTTAATATTTTTCGATTTCAGATGTTCATGACGAAGCGAATTCTATGCGGGATAGCATAACAAATATTATTAAACTAGTGACAAACGATGTACTTGTAGAATCTAAAGAACAAAAAAATTATAAATTAAAATAGTTGGAGGTGGAATAATAATGTGCACGAAAAGATAAAATATAAGTTGTGTTATAAAAATTGGTTTATATATACAAGCTTAAAAAACTGAGAAAAATAGGGAGTCAAAATGAACAATTTGTGACGCTAAAAATTTCACTTTTATTGATTTTTATAATAGATTATATACAAAAAAGTTAAAAAATATATGCATTAACTAGTTAAACAAATAAAAAAGAAAAATAAATATTTAATTCAAACAAAGTGTATTAAAGATGAAAATCAATTACTGTATTTGTTAGATGAAGATATTTTACATATGTATGTGAGCTATTTTAATAAATTTTTCAATGAAGTTTCTGAAGATGCGATCGATCTTTTTATTCTTAATACTGTTATTAATAATAAAACATTTTATTTTTACCGTCAGATTAATAAAAAAGAAGTTAACGAGAATTTAAAAAAAACCAATGGTGAAAAATCAGTATGACCTGATGATATTGCTTTTGAAGTGTGAAAATATTTAGGAGATTTGAGAGTTTTTTGGTTTACTATACTCATTAATATTATTTTAAAAATTAAAAAGATGCTTGAGGAATGGTGGAAGAGTATTTTGGTCCCATTTTTAAGTATAAAGGAGATGTAAAAGAGTGCAAATTATAGAGAATTTAAGTTGATGTGTCATACTTTAAAATTATGAGAGAGGGTAATTGAACATAGGTTAACACGTACATAGGTTAACACGTGAAACACGTGATACAAAGATTTCTCATAATCAATTTGGGTTTATGCCGGGCAGGTCTACTATGGAAACTATACATCTATTGAGAGGTTTGATGGAGAATTTCAGAGAGAATGAGGATCTAAATATCATTTTTGTTGATCTAGAAAAAGCTTACAATAATATTTTAAGAGAAGTCTTTTGGAGAGTTGTAGAGAAGAAAGATGTTGATATGACTTATATTTAAGTTATTAAAGATATGTATACTAGAGCTGTTATTTGTGTTTGAACAGAAGGAAGATTGACAAATTATTTTCCTATTTCGGTTGGATTACATCAGGGATCGGCTTTAAGCCCATATTTTTTTGCTTTAGTTATGGATGCTCTTTTTGGACATTTACAGGAGTATGTATCATGATGTATATTTTCCGCTGATGATATCTTTCTTATGGATAAGACTAGAGAAAGAGTTCACGAAAAAATTGAATTATGGAGGTCTATATTGGAGTCTAAAGGCCTTCGTTTGAGTATATCTAAAACAGAATACATGAAATGTAATTTTAGTACTAGTATGCAGTGGCTCTAGTGACAGAATTGTAACTATGGGTGATCAAATCATTAAAAGGTGTGAGTGTTTTAGATATCTCGGGTCTATTGTTTTAAGTGAAACCTGCAATGCTCTATGACATAGAATGTTGGCCTTTAAAAGAGAAGCATAAAACAAAGTTAAGCGTTGTTGAGGTGAGAATACTTAGGTGGATGAATGGCTTGACACTTAGGGATAGAATGCAAATTGAATATATCTTTGATAAGGTTGGTGTAACTGCAGTGGTAGACAAGATTAGAGAGAGTCGTCTTAGATGGTTTGGTCACATTAAACGTCAACCATCTAATGATCCGGTTAGGAGAGTAGATGTTTTAGATTCGACTGATGTTAAGAAAGACAAATGTAGACCTAAAAAGACTCGGACATATGTATAAAAAATGATCTTAATCTATTAGAATTAAATGAAAAAATGTCACTCAATAGGACACAATGGAGAAAATTATTCATGTAGCTCGACCCCACATAGTGGGATAAAGACTTGTTGTTTTTGATGCAATAAAATTTACGCTAGATTAGGGTCCGTTTGGGGCAGCTTATTTGATAGCGTTTTGAAAACACACATTGTTTGTTTGGGTAAACTGCATTTTGGTAGCTTATGCATTTTCAAAACGCTGAAAATAGCATTTTCACACTGCATCTATCTAGGTGCGGTGACAGCTTTCTGACCGCGGCCTTAATTTTTCAAAAAAATAAAATTTTGTAATAACCACCGCATCTAGCTTATCATCAGATTATTTTTAATCAGCTTATCAACATATTATTCAATAAGCTACAACTGCCCCAAACAGACTCTTAATCTAACACAAGAAAAAAAGTAATAACATCATAACTAATCTACTGCAAAATTTAAAAAGTTAATATTCTCTCAGCGATGTGGGCAAAGAAGACAAAGTAGGAGTGCTTCAATAATAATGAGGAGGAAGGAGACAACATGGAAGAAAAAGTTTGATAATGAAGAGAGGGATGGTCATTGTTATCTCTCATTCAAAGAGCAAGGTGAGAGGAAAGGTGCTTGCTGTTGGTGGCTTTTGATTGGGGAAGAAGAAGGTGAGGGGGATAACTTGGTGCAAGGAAGGAAATTCTCTATCATTCGCTTTGTATGTGTGTGAAGCAGGGGTGAGAGAGAGAGAGAGAGAGAGAGAGAGAGAGAGAGAGAGAAGGGTTACAATTTTGAAACTCTTGCTGAAAGAAGGTTTGGTATGGGGAGGGAAGGTATGACGAGCAGCAAAATGCCCTAGCTGCTAAACTTATTAAATCACAATTTTGGATGTGAAAATGCATGCTGCTTGTGCAAGATTTTGTGGTTGGAGGCAGTGATCGAGTGAATCACACTGTTTGTGTGGAGCAGGGTGAAGATGGTTGGGGTTGGGGTTGGGGTTGGATTAAGGTTTGCGCTTCTTAGTTTGGCTCTTAAACTTGCTCTTCAGGTTTTTTTTCCTTGTGCGTTTAATCAAGATTCTTAGTTGAAAATAATTTCCCTGCTTATATACCTTTACATCTGGGCAATTTTACACCAGAATTTCCATTAAAAATTACTGCCCTATAATCCATTAAACTTAATGATTATGATTATGGATGCAGTTATTTTGCAATATTCATGAACTTTTTTTAAAAGGTAGTATGAAGGTAAATTTTTTAGCTTTTATCGCAGTTCTATTGAAAAATATATTAATTTGAACCAAAAATGGCTAATGGAAGAAGACATTTTACTTCGATGCAGTTGGTACCATACAATTTTTAGTTTATAACTTTGGTGGTGTTTAACACTTCTGTGATGAGTGGATTTGTCTCATTGGTGTTGGAACTCTTCTCTTGTTGTTTCCCATTATGTTCTGACATGGTCAAGTTTAGGATTCTTTATGGCACGTGGACAGAAGCTTAAAAGCCTTTTGTTTATAGTATGGACTTATGTGTTGCTCTGTTGATCAGTTACCTCAGGCATGGGTGTAACTTTCCCATACTTGTAATTGTATATGATTTTCTTACATTTTAAGACATTTTTTTATTCATTTTCATATCAATTTAAGAGAGTTCTCATATAAACAAACTTGTAAAATTTTCAGGTTCAAAAGCCAGAGGACATTCTTAATGCAAATCGTCTTGTTTTTCCTGGGGTTGGGGCCTTTGCATCTGCAATGCATGTATTACATGACAATGGGTGAGTAGTATTGAACATTTTTGCATTGATTTTATATTAAATATTATGTATTTTCTACTATATTTTCTTACATCACTTATGGATTAAATTTCAAAATTATTGCTAGTAATAGGTTTGTTCGCAATTGTAACTAGCATCTGATTTCAGCTTAAATGTTATTGAATTTCATTTAATTATTTTCCCTACCTCTCTACAACACTATACCCTAAGCTCTCTCTCCCGCAATCCTACATGCTGAAGTTATTTTTACACAAAAAATGGCTATTTATATCATCATCCAGCTCTTTAATATGTTGCATCCAAAACAGATGGTAATGAAAAAAGATTGGTTGCGTTAGAATTCTTTTTTTTTTCATCCATCCAATCCAAGATGAGAAAATAAACTATAGGTATAGTCAAATCCTTTAATTACATATCAATACTGCTATGACTGAGTTTTCGCTCTTGAAATTTCTTTTTTAAAAAAGCTGCTCTACAGAAGCCATTTGTTGGTTAGTTGATGATCTATCTAAATGCACTTTTGCTGGGAATGCTTTTTTAAAAAAAAAATGTAAGGAATTACGCATTCTACATTATTTTTTATATCTCATTTGCTAGCATTCTCGTGACGCTTACCTATCAACATTTATTATATTCTGCTTTATAAGTCGTGACAGACACATTTGATGCAAGTGCTCTTATTGTTACTGATTCTTAGCACAAAAATAATCGAGTTTATCATTTCTATTTGTAGGTTTGCCGAAGCACTCTGTAAGTACATAGAGAAAGATCGTCCTTTTCTTGGCGTATGTCTTGGTCTTCAGCTGCTTTTTGAATCGAGTGAGGAGAATGGTCCAGGTGATGCTCGGATTCCTTTGTTTGCTATTTCCTTGTCACTTCTAGTGATATAACTTTTGAATTTAAGCGCCATAATCTATTGAGAGTTCAAGTGAACATAATAAGAAATAAAGAAGCCGGTTAAATTAAACTGCCGCATCTTGTTTTGTAATACTTTCCTCTTAAGAAACATATAATTAGCTTTCTTTTCATTGTTTTATGGAATTATATAATTGTGTTACGTCTTTGCCTCGTCTAATGGGCAAATTTGTCTTTTATACGCCTAAGGACAATTTGGTTTATTATTATTATTATTATTATTATTGTTATTGTTGGGTATAAATAAGCTTGTTATGTCTAAGGTTAGGGGGATGCGTGAGATTGAGTTGTGAGTCCTTAGTTTTAGGTTTTGGGAGAGATTTTCTACTTCTCGAATTGTAGTTGGGAGAGGTAGCCTACCTCTTGAATTGTAGGTGCTCATCTTTGTATTCTCATCGAGTTGTTTGAATTATTAAAATAAGAAATCTGTTAAGAAAGCATGCCGAGATTAGATCTAGCTGAGATGTGCACGTGGGGATTGCGACAAATTTTCATCTTTCTCCTCCTGCTTTGTCCTCGCGATAAACTAGCGGGATGACAGTATCCAGTTGCGAGATAGTCACTGTCCAAGATTCCAAAGTCAGTGGCCATATCAGGTGTGCCTCCGATATGAAACCTTTCATTATTTGGGAAGCCGACAACAGAATTTCGACATTTTCCTGCTGGGGTTCAATATAGCTGGGAAGGAAACCACATGATCGCAAGTTTCAAAACTCTATAAGAAGCAATGTCAATAAAGAAAATAGATGATTTGGAGAAGAAATTGGAGGAAGAGGTGGGGCAACTCAAATCTGAGATGGAAGACAAGTTCGTCACCATAGAAAATAGAGTTCTTTCATAGAGAACTAAATGGAGGATGGATTCAAGAGCATAAGGGAAATGTAAGAAATGATGAAGATCATGGAGTTTCACACAAAACTGGCCTTGCCTGCCATGGGCTCAAGAGACGATTTTGGAAACGGACTCCAGCAACAACAACCAAAAAGATTCACATGACATGAGGGCAGCGTCACATCTTTTGGTGGATCGGGGGCTGTGGTATCGAGCAAGGAAACCTGAAGCATATTCGAGCTGGAGCACTTTGAAGAAATCATAGGACATTTAGATGGCTTGGACAACCAAAAGCAAGCAAGACCGAAGTTGATAGAGATGGGAGACATGTGAGACGGAGTTGAGAGAGATTCTAGTGAACGGTAAGCCACGGGATGAGCTGTTTGAGATTGTGATATTCTCTAAGATTGTTTGAAAATCAAGCCACCAACCAATTCAGATGCAACCAAAAGAATGTGCACAAGACTACATTTCTGACTCCTATGGGTCACTATGAATCACTGAATAAATGAAAAAGATGATCAGATAATGACACAAGATGGGAGTCACTTGACTTGATCAAGCAGCAGTCTAATTTTTTCTAATCTTGAGGACAAGGTGTTTACGTCTATGCCTAGTCTAAGGGCAAATTTGTTTTTTGTATGCCTAAGGGCAATTTAGTCTTCTATTATTATTATTGTTGGGTATAAATAAGCTTGTTATGTCTAGGGTTAGGAGGATGCATGAGATTGAGTTGAGTGCTTAGGTTTAGGTTTTGAGAATGATTTCCTACCTCTCGAATTGTAGGAATTGGGAGAGATCTCTTACCCGTTGAATTATAGGTGCTTATCTTTGTATTCTTATTGAGTATTCTCATTGAGTTGTTTGTTCTTATTGAGTTGTTTGAATTATTGAAATAAGAAATCTGTTTGCCCTAATTTTTCAGGACAAACGTACCGATTTGGAGATCAAATCGTATCAAATTGTATCTTTTTTATTCCATTTCTTTTGGGTATGTTGTCAGTGCCAAGCTTGAGCTAGCAAGCATCAAAACAGTACCATCATAAGAACTCATTTTACTTATTTAAACTGAAGTTGCTATCTTCAAGGAACCATGATCAGAATTACTGAACCGCCTCAGAACCAATGACCAGAGTTATTGAACCGCTTCATAAAGTCCCTCCTCTCTTTGACTTGGTTATTCCCCTCTTGCTGGTAGAGTATATTATGAACTTTTTTTTGTTTTGTTTTTGTTTTTATTTTTTCATGTTGTTTTATTTGACTTCACACGAGCATTTAACAGTTAATAACTATGCCTACAGTAAAAGGACTTGGCTTGATACCTGGTGTGGTTGGACGTTTTGACTCTTCGAACGGCCTTAGAGTACCACACATAGGATGGAATGAAGTGCAGATAACTAAGGAGTCAGGAATTCTGCATGATTTTGAAGGCCAACATATTTACTTTGTTCACTCCTATCGTGCTTTGCCTGTATGCTCATACACTTGGTTATTTTATTATTTATACTTGTATATTATATTTTGCAGTAACTGTGATAAAAACTTGGTTTTACTCATTCCGTTTTATTCTAGTCAGATGCCAACAAGGATTGGATATCATCAACATGCAATTATGGCGATACTTTTATTGCTTCTATATCAAGGGGAAACATACATGCTGTCCAATTTCACCCTGAAAAGAGTGGAGGTAACTCTAACATATGATATATATATATATATTTTAATCTTATGTAGATATAATCTTTGATGAAAGTATATTTGGCCTCTTTGGTATCTATTTAAATTTTTTCGCTTCATGGAATTGCTTTTGAAATATGTTATCTTTTTTTTTCTCTTTTATAATTCTTTGCCAAACATGTTTCTCATGGTAAGGTAGGAAATGTCAGTGGAAAAACAACAAAAAGTGTGTTCGTGTTCGGCTTGTTTGCTTAACGAAAATTAAAAATTATTATTTATATTAAAACAACATTTGAATCTAATTTAATAAATTTTATTTTATTTTCTTAATTAATATTTTAATTGGTTATAAATCTTTGTAGCTTTGTAGTCAATTAGATTTTCTTAAAATACTACTTAATATATATATATATATATAAACTTAATGAGTAGTATTTCGGGCCAAAATGAGCCGAACACGAACGAACACATCTTAGTTCGTGTTCGGTTCGTTAACTTATCGAACAAAATTAACGAGCCGAACACGAGTTGTTCGCGAACAACGAGCCAGTTTGACAGCCCTATATATAACATCTCCTGGTCATCCAGTCATATTGGTAATGTTAATTTATTTCCCTCAGATGTGCATTATACATTTTTGTTCTTCTAATATTACTCCATTTAATTGTTTGTAACATGAAATACATATCATCAACATATTATTATGGCGATACTTTTATTTCTTCTATATCAAGGGGAAACTTACATGCTGTCCAATTTCACCCTGAAAAGAGTGGAGATAACTTGACATATAATTTTTTTAAAATCTTATGTAGATACAAACTTTGATGAAATTATATTTGGCCTCTTTGGTATCTATTTAAATTTTTTTGCTTGCATGGAACTGTTTTTGAAATATGTTATCTTTTTTTCTCTTTTATAATTATTTGCCAAACATGTTTCTCGGTAAGGTAGGAAATGTCAGTGGAAAAACAGCATGACATGTGCAAAATATCCTTATTTGTTTTGTTTGTACTGTTTGATTTCATATTATCACATGATAATGTATATGTGAAAGTCAAACCTTGAATCCTCCACTAAATCCCTCTGACCAGCCCTCTATAACATCTCCTGGTCATCCAGTCATATTGGTAATGTTAATTTATTTCACTCAGACGTGCATTATACTTTTTTGTTCTTCTAATGTTACTCCATTTATTTGTTTGTAACATGAAACACATATCAATGCTATGGTCAAGCAGGCTATGATTATTTTTATATTTAAAAAAAGTAGTCTTTGCATGTTTTATTTGTTTGAACTTTTTGAAAACTGTTGCTTAAATATGATAACAGATCCCTAAGGCTTTCTAATCCACTCACTAAGGATTGTTCTTTCTAGGAAGCTTAAGTCGCAGGTGTAGTTTGTTTAGTGGCACTCGGCTTCATGGTACTTTATTCGGGTTAATTGATGTCTTTTTTCTTGTACACTAAATGTATGGAGGCAACTGCATTTTACTGCTGTTATACTCCTTTTTCTGTCGTGCATTGATTAATTTATTTTAACATGCTCAGTACTCTTTAGTGCTATTTGCCTTTATCATAGCGTTACAATTGTATTAATTCCATTTTTTTCCTATGTTAGAGGTAGGATTAGCATTATTGAGGAACTTTCTTTGTCCATCAACTAAATCAAAGTTAAAGGTTAGTTTTAGCAGATTTTATATTTTCATATCTGCCAAATTTGACATCTTACAATATCCTTGACATTTCATGTGACAGAAGCTAGAAAATGGAAAGGCATCTAGTCTTGCTAAAAGAGTAAATATTCTTTTCTTCTTTTGTTCAGTTACAAAGCTAGATACTTCCATTTCTTATTGGCGCGTTTATGATATTTTTTCAGGTAATAGCGTGTCTTGATGTCAGGGCAGATGATAAAGGCAATCTTGTGGTAACTAAAGGTGATCAATATGATGTACGGGAGCATACGGATGAAAATGAGGTTGTTAGACTCTCTCTCTCATTTTTTGTTCTTGTTCAAGAAGCTATGTGTTTTACACCCTGAATCACAAGCAAACTTTCAGATTTCAAAAGCACTGTTGTGCAATTTTGTGCTGGTATATGAATGAGATTAGGCTTTATACTCATCTTCTAGTCAAAACATCTATTTTGAAGCTTGCTCACTTATTCAATGTTGACTTAATGGAAGTTATGCCAGTTTTCCTTGTTTTTCATGCTTTGACATAAATTTTTTATGCGTGTTCGGTTTGCTTTTTCTTTATCTTCCTGCCAATCAGAAGCTAAAGGATTTAGTAAATGGTAGAATATTTGCTGGATGGCATGATAAGAAGCAATTCTGTATTTTTTTTGTTGTTGTTCTGTAAGTGCTGTAATGGGCTTTTCACGTTGTATAAATTTTATTTGTTTAATTATTGTTTGTCAATGTTTATTTTAGTTATTATTTATTTTGTTATCCTTTCAAAAAAATATCTTGACATAACGTTCATTTCATTTTCATTTAGTTAACATCAGTTTATTCGTTTAAGTTTTTTTATTTTTTTATTTTTTTTTCATATTGAATGAATTTTTTGGCTGGAATGTTTTATTGTAATAATATATTATTGAAGAATGGAAAATATTGATTTGTATTGGCTTCTTTTTTCTTTGAGAACATTTTTTCATTATTTGGCATCAATATGTGAAGCCCTCTAGTAGAACGAAGTTGAACACTTAACTGTTGAGGTGCCTTTTGGTGTAACGGTGGAATTTCATCAGAAATTTCAAAGTTAGGCATGCTCGTGTTGGAGCACTCTCAAGATGGGGTGATCTTCTGGGAAGTTACACCAACATGATAAAACCGTGAAGTCATCAGACCAAAGCGGACAATATCTTTCTCAATTGGTGAGAGTTCGGGTTATTACAAATGTATCAGAGTATTACACTAGCTTGAAGATGGGAACTAAGTGCCATACAAAACAAAGTGTCTTAAAAATGTGCTACACCATTTGAGTCATATCAAACATAAGATGGGATAAGGTGCTAGTGGGATCTATCTCTTGAATCTGCAAGGGTCACTGTATTGTTGATCTAAACTTTTTCTAAACTTTTATATGTGCTTTTATTTGAGGAGTCTGTATCAGAAATAAGGTTCGGGCACAAGTTCCAATGTGCTTGATGTGTGGAACCACATGACAAGGACCTGTCAGCACTATTTTGGGTTGTGGAGTTGGATAGATATCCCGATGCCCAGCTTAATTTAATTTATATGTAGTTAATTTGAAAAAGAAAAGGTAGAATATTAAATTTTGAAAATACAAGACCAGACCAATCTCATATCCTCAGTAATTTAAATAAACGAGCCTAATACCGTAAGCAATGTATCTACCCCGAAGGATAAATACACTACTTACTGGTAATGCTCGATTAAATAAACTAAAGATTGTATGACATCCGTTTAGATCTGCGAAAATCATTTTATTTATAAGGCGACAATTTCTCTTATTTCATATGAAGGATTAAATAGGGTTTATATTAAGTTGGGTCTGGAAATGTTTCCTATAAAGGCGAACCCCTATAGTTAATTACATCTTAGATAACCGGAATCACCTAAGAAAACTCTCAATAAAAATCATGTGATATTATCTTAAAAGAATTAAAAAAGGTAGAACTTTTAACGAGATCCGATAAAGAGGTGTGAAAGGAGAATGACTCAAGTTTAAAATATTTTATTTTGGAATCCAAAGAAAGAACTAGTAGATGTCACAGATCCTGAGGAGAACTTCGGTGACTTCCCAAACTATCCTATGGTTTGACTTCAATTTAGATGAAAAATATTTAAATGTTTCATCTTGCCATTTTTATTAATTAGAGCTTATATTCGTGTGAAATAATCACATAAATAACCTGAAATATGTGAGAATTTAGGTCGTGACAAACGACAACCTCGGAATTCTAAAGCAGATTGAGACTTAAATTGTATAACAGAGCTATACAAAGACTTAAAGAAAAGGTTGATGATTTATGTTGCATAAGCAAACAACCTCGAAATTCTTGTTTAATTCTAAGGAAATATATGTTGTTGTAGATTCTCTTGCTGTTGAAGATGACCGTGCTGCCCACAATGCTAGCTTCAAGCTCATCGTCGTGACGAGTTTAAGTTTTCTAATGTGCCCAGTTATGATGTCAAATTAAATGTCCCTAAGGTTATTGCCATTCAAATATTATGGGGCATATTAAAGTTGATTCGAGCGACACCGGTTAGGATCCTACGGTTTCCTTCTTCTGGTATCACTATTTTTTATCGAATTCACTTAGTTCAAATGAATTTACTAAACTCATCTTAATGAGTTTCATACTTTCATTTAGACTGAGAAATCTTCTGAGCAACCGTAGGTTACCTCCTCCGACGGATTCTCGATCATCCGATAGAGACATCTTAATTAAGTTGCAATTGTTATTTTGTGATGTTTGTGATTAAATTTTGATTTGTCTTATATTTTGAATGTTGTGGCGGTAGATTTTATCTTGATTGATTTTAATTTTGGTTTTGATTTCAGTTTTGTGACCATTCTAAAGATTTTAATTTTCATGTAGGGTGACATTGTTGTTTAGCATGCAAATTTGCAAAAGTAAAAGCACAATGTAGGAAAATACGAGAAAAGAAAGCACTGTAAACTATAAAAGCGTATATGGCGAGTCTTCTCGTTTCTTCGCCTAAAACTTCAGTACTTGTAAAACATATATATGTATAAATTTGCAGGAATTAAAACATGTTTGTAGAAAAAGTAGGAAATACAAGCTTAAAGTATGCCTACCAAATTCTATGTCATATCTTGGTATATTTAAAATTTTAAGGATAATTCCGTTGAGCAAATTATAATAAGCCCACATATCCTTCAAGACTTCCAAAGGATCATGAAGAAGTTTTGGGTAATACCTTAGACATTTCATGGTCCCCGGAATTATCTTGAGTTCATTATAGTTTTATCATATTTGCTATATAGTTCACCCTATATAGTTCACATATTTGCTATATAGTTCACCCAATTAATACCCTTATGCTTAATGAATTTGATGTTTTAATTATCCCTTAAGTGGGGTAATTATCACTTGATATCTCACTTATGAGTTATATAGGTAAAGACGGTTGGAGGTAACTCAACTTAATTAAAGAATTTAATTAATTTAGTTTTTTTTAAAGAATGGGCTTCTAGTGTTTTGAAAGGTTTTAAATTAATTATATGTTATTTTCTAAACCTCATTAGATAAAATTTTGATTAAGCCTAACTCACTACTAAGCTCTTAAGATTTAATGGGTGAATTTATAATTTTAAGAAAAAAAGATTTTTTCTTAATGTTTATATTTATATTCTTAGTCCTTATCATGAATTATAAATCATCCCAAAATTATTAGTTGGGACTTAAAATCAATGAGTTATGATCTTCTAAAATCAAAGCCCTCACCTTGATATCTCCTTATTTAATATCTCCTTATTTAAATTTGATATCTCCTTATTTAAATACTCTTCCAAATTTTATTAATTTTAAGAAATTACAAATTTATCATTTATAAGACCGAAATAGAATTTGTTTCTACTACTTACCCCTTTTTATGTTTCAATTATCAAAACATGTTATTTTAAGATCATTTATTACCCATTTACCCTCTTGGTTAGACCTAAATATTAATTAAGCTCAAAATTCTAAAATTACACTTTTGCTCTTAAGGTCTTAGTACCTTATAATTCATTAAATTAGACTCAAATGACTTAAAAGTTTTATGTTACCTCACTCATGAGTTAATTAAAACATCAGAGGAGAAAATATGATTTTTTCTGAATTTATTTAATTTCATAATTAATTTTAATACAAAAGTAGGGATTTTCAATGGAAATTTAATAACACAACTAAAATAAAACATCTGTTTTTAAGAAAATTATTGGAGGTTCACCTAGGTCAGAGGATCACTTGGACTAATTTTCATGATTTTTAGAAATTTAATTTAATTATTAAAATTGTTTGTTGGTTTTGAGCATTAATTAAATATAAAATAATAGTTAAATCAAAAATTAAGTTTTATATTTTTATTTAATCTCTATGAGTCCAGGGGACGCAAAGAAATAAATTTCATATTTTTGTGATTTATATTTTAATTATTAGAATTATTTTAGTGAAAAATTAGAGAAAATTCATTTTTAAGCCTTTTAAAATCAATATCTTGACTTAGACAATTAAAAAAAAATTTTTAATTGGTTCTAGATGATCAGGAAGCTAAATGTGATATTTTAGTGTGTTTTACAATTTTGTGATTTTTTATGATTTTTAATTAATTTCAATTAATTTAAATACTTAAAATAACTAAAAAATAATGAAGTATTTATTTTAATTACAATTTTATTTTCCTTAGGTTCCTCTGATCATAAGGAGCTCCCAAAACCAATTTGGTGATTTTTTTTGAATTGTATTTTAGTTATTATAATTATTTTAATGACAAAAATGTCATTTCACTTAATTAATCCATTTGAGTGGTTAAAGTAACTCCAATTGACTTGAAATTTTTATGGGGAGCTCCTTTAACATTAAATTACAGTGTGGAATAGTTTTTATGTCATTTATATTTATAATTATTCCAAATTAATTTTCTTTTTATTTTTAGGATTGGTGACAATTAATGTTATTTTAAATGAATTAAATCAAATTTATATTTTTCCAAGGATCCTCTGACCACAATGAACCCAACAAAACAAGTTTTGTATTTTTATGATGAGTATCTGAATTATGATAATATTTTTATCAAAACAGAGGCCATTAACTTGAAAATTAGATATCCATGCCTAGAGATCTCCCATAACCCTAGAAAAATAAGAAAGAGCATCCCCATAACATGTAGAATCAAAGCCCCAAAGATCAAGTCATGATGAAATGTCTTTACTAATGGAGAATCAAAATAAGGAAAATACCATTTAATTAATTAAAAATAAATAAGTAAAATCATATAACTTTTTGAATTGTATTTTAGTTATTATAATTATTTTAATGACAAAAATGTCATTTCACTTAATTAATCCATTTGAGTGGTTAAAGTAACTCCAATTGACTTGAAATTTTTATGGGGAGCTCCTTTAACATTAAATTACAGTGTGGAATAGTTTTTATGTCATTTATATTTATAATTATTCCAAATTAATTTTCTTTTTATTTTTAGGATTGGTGACAATTAATGTTATTTTAAATGAATTAAATCAAATTTATATTTTTCCAAGGATCCTCTGACCACAATGAACCCAACAAAACAAGTTTTGTATTTTTATGATGAGTATCTGAATTATGATAATATTTTTATCAAAACAGAGGCCATTAACTTGAAAATTAGATATCCATGCCTAGAGATCTCCCATAACCCTAGAAAAATAAGAAAGAGCATCCCCATAACATGTAGAATCAAAGCCCCAAAGATCAAGTCATGATGAAATGTCTTTACTAATGGAGAATCAAAATAAGGAAAATACCATTTAATTAATTAAAAATAAATAAGTAAAATCATATAACTTTCTACTTATTCGCGTCAGCCTCGTACGCGTCGAAGAGACGCATGTCGCCGCTGGATTGGGCGTTGCCGTCCGGGTCAGCTTTCCCTTTTCGAACCATAGCTCTGTTCGACGCGATCAGGACCATCCAAGTGATACACGCTCGATCGGACGACACGTGGTCATCGTCCCCAACGAATCATGCCCACAAACCGTCCATTTTCTAGGGTTAATATCTCACTCGATTCTCAACCAGATCAAGTGCAGTTTGTTCCTATAAATTCGTCTTGACTAGGAGAACATATCTATACATTTATTTGACCCTTAAATCAACTCTATGTGAATGGAGAGTGAAATGAAGCTCGGTTTAGGGTTAACTTTCAATACCTTGGTCCAAGAGGGGTAGCCTCGATTGGATGCTTGTGGAAGCTTCGTGGGGGGCCCAAGGGCCTAGGGATGGAGCCTTAAGCCGTGGTGAATCGCCTAGATATGATTTCGACCAAAGTCGATTTGGGGTGTTGGTCAAAGTTCACTTTAGGGTGCTATGGTGATGGGGCTTTTGTGGGGGATCTTCTTGTCTTGATGTGGGGATGGTGTAGGTGCAATTAATTTGGATTAATTTGAATTTGGTGGAGGTTTGGAAGATGTCCTATTTAGATGTTCTATTTAGACCTCAAATTAGGGTTGGAAAATTGGCTTTGTTCAGTGGAGGAGAGTGCTGGAAAATGATTGCATTGCACTTAGGAGGTCTTGAAGAAGCTCTGAAAGCAATTTGGCTGAGTCTCCATAAGGAATTTCAAGGTCTCCTTTGGCCATGGAGTGGCCATGGAGGGGGGGGGGTTTAAATAGACGGGGAAAGAGAGATCAACAAGGGCAATTGGTGGGTGTCCTAAGTTGCTTATGTGGATGCCAACAAGGTGCAAAAATCCAATTGGGATGAGCCAGTTTGGATGCGTTTAATTTTGAGTTTTAGCCATGGTGGAGCTTTTGATTTTGGGTTTTCCTGTTGGCCGGCCAGGGAGGGGTCACCATCCAACTCAGGGAGGTCAGGGCTTGGTCTTGGTGAAGTCAATTGAGGTTGGTCATGTGTAAATGTATGAGATTGAAATAGTATGGGAAAAGGGTCAATTTGGGTCAAATTGGGTCAAGACATGGTTTGGGTTGGGTTCAGCCACCAAGGTTGGTCTTGAGCTGAAGAGGATCAGATGTGTCAGCTAAATTAGCGTGGAGAGGTCCCCATCTATGTGATTTGATTAAGTATGAGGTTTAGAGGAATCATTAAAAGGGTTAAAAAACTTTTTAAAGAAGTTTGAAAGTGTCTTGTCCTCTTTCCATTAATAATTTGATGATGTGGCAAGACTCTCATGACTTTTCTATGGCTTGGGAGTGGTTTCATGATTTGCATGTGGCTTGGCTAATTTTCATGAGAAGGGATTTTGGATTTATTTCATATTTTTGGTGAAGTTTGGCTTGATGCTTGATTTGGAATGCTTTGATTTTGGATTTAGAACTTTAGGAGTGATTTTGATTGCATGGATGATGAATGAAAGAGTTGTCATATGGGCTTTGGATTTGGGTCTTTGGAATTGTATGTGGTGGGCTTGGGCTTTTAAAATGGAAATTGAGTTTGGGCTAATTGAATGTTGAGTTTGGTGTAGGAATATGTCATGAAGGATTTAACAAAATTTCAAGTGATTTTGAGTTGAATTGATGAGTTAATTTGATGGATTTAGGCATATGGTGAAAATTGGGCCTTTTTGATTTGGGTGACATTGAGCTTGCAATTGGATCAAATTGGGCTTGAATTTTGTTCAAAATAGGATTGAGGATGCTGAATTTTGATTTGGAATTGAAATTGGACAAGATTGGGGTCAATTGGGCTAAGATTAGGACTAATTTGGGGACATTTGAACTTTTAAGGGAAAATTGGGGTTTTTGGTCAAATTGGACTAATTTGGTCAAATTGATGATAAAAAATTGAAATTGAGAATATTTGGGATGATTTTGGAATTTTTGGGAATTTTTATAATTTTTAGGTCATGAGAGGTATTTTAATAATTTTGGACAATTTTGGGGGTATTTTGAGAATTTGGTAATTTTTGTGAATTTCGTTCAATTTAGGTAGTGGTGGGGGGTTTGAGATGATTAGGTAGTGGTGGGGTCAATTTAGGTAGTGGTGGGGGGTTTGAGATGATTTTTGAGCAAATTTGGATATTTTGGGTAATTTTGGGATTTTTTGCAAAGATTGAAGTTGTAGGGTTACTTTGGTAATTTGGTGACTCTGGGCCAAAATGAGCCAACGAGCCATGAAACCATGCTAAACCTATAGGAATTATATGATGACTCATTTTGGATGCTTAATGTACTGGTTCTACCCTCTTAGCCAAAGACTAGTTGTACAAGGTCATCCACATGAGCTTTCCAAAGGGAGTCAGGAGACATATGTAAGGGGTCATAGGGTTTAGGGTATGTGAGAGAATGTAGTCTGTGTAAGTTAGCCCCACCAAAGCCAGATTACCCAGGGTTAGTTTTAGGGTCTGACCATCCTATGGGGGACTCCACTTGAGCTCATTCATATTGACCCTACCTACTAAGTGCTAGAGGTTATGACCAATATGTGGAACTTCAGATTGAGCAAAGAAGGGTTTATAATTTCTAATTGTTAGAGTTCCTTTCTAATTCTCTAGGAATAGTTAATAGAAAAGTCCTATGACTAGACCCCAGGCTACTAAAAAGGAAAAACTAGACCTCAATCAAAAATGAGATCAACAGGACCATAAGTAGTGCATGTGCTCAATACCTTAAGTTTGAATCTATATTGATGTATAAAATTAAGATCCGGTGTGTGTAAGTGGAGTATGACAGTCTTTTGTTTCCTAGGATATATTGACGACCCAACATCACTCGGCTTGTTTTCATTATTTATATTATTTGCTTTACTTTACTTTTGTATTGAGTGTTCAATTCATACTTTTTTTAATTGTGGTTTGTCTGGAAAGCTTCATGAATACAATTTAGGCTCTTTAGGACTACAATGTATATCTTTATAACAAAATCCTAAAAATAAAATATTAAGCTTAATTAAAATTTAGGATTAAAACTAAACCAAAATTTAAATGAGAACATTACTTTATGCATTTACTTTCTTGCATGGCCTTTTGCTGGATTTATAATAGTTTTGCATGCATGGGCTTCACCCAAGTCATAATTAATAGGGCCCTCATATTTTGGGACTGTTCTAGATAATTGAATCATTTTGCTTGTCCCAAGGAGGATAGCCCATGCTCCTCCAGCCTGACTAGCCACCCATTAATTTCTACTTAAATGGATGTCTAGGAAAATCAGGGTATTATAGGCTCTCTCGACACAAACGGATTGTAAGTACTTCATCGGATTTTTTGACATTGTAGCGCAAACCTTCCTTCCTCCCCCATTCTAGAAGATTCCCTGCCTCTTTCTTGGCAGGAATAAGTCTCATTTTTATGAATTCTACTCACATAGTGTCATAGGGGATTAGAGTTTCTTTCCTCTTTAACTTTATGGTTATTGAGATTCCTTAAATGACTTAATTGTTCATTATAATTTTAAAAGTTATATCTTCATTTTTCTATATAAATTTATCACCAAAGTATCATATTATCTTCTAATAATATTGATTTATAATGGTTAATATTGCACTCCTAAGATTGCAAATTATATGCTGAACACTTTTTCTACTAATCCTATGCCCTTTTTCTTCTAAACATTCTCAGAATTGTTCTAGTTTCTTACTTATTTTAGTGGATCCTAAAACAATGAAAACGCTCACCTTGTATTGAAGGAAGAGGTATCTGACATGTTTTAATGCAGTGTCTTTCGATTTCTTTCTCCTAATCCAGAAGTTAAAACTTTTAACAGGTAAGAAACCTTGGTAAACCAGTGGACCTGGCAAGTCAATACTATAGTGATGGAGCTGATGAGGTAGATTTTGGATTTATAGTATTGATATTGATCTATATATTTACATGAACTCATGTAACATTTCTGCGTTTCAGGTTACTTTCCTTAACATAACAGGATTTCGTGATTTTCCTTTGGGAGATTTGCCAATGCTTCAGGTTTTTGTTTCTTTTTTTTACATATTTATTATTTCTTTTGGATAATATTGCTTACAAATAACAAAAATGAGAAACATTTATGAGATATTCATGTACATCTCTGGACGGAGGTTTCATGATATTTCTTGACTTGTTAGTAAAATAAGATAAAGCAGCTTGACTATATGAAGTAAATTTATCAACTTAAAATTCAAGTTTGATATTTCATGGCTAAAAAATAATTTTATGATTTGTACAGTCAAAGTGTTTTCATGCTTAGCATCTCATGAATGATTTCAAATATTAGTTCAATTATCCTTTTATGTGTCATCTTATATGTTCAGTAAAATGTATTAATACATATAGTTTTTGTAGATAAAAAATAAGCAACTAAAAATTACTTTCATTTATCTTCATCTGTTATTATAGGTTTCATAAACATTTCTATTATGGATATTATTTATATCATCTTATGCAGGTACTGCGCAACACATCAGAAAACGTTTTTGTACCACTGGCAGTTGGTGGTGGTATAAGGGACTTCACAGATGCTAATGGAAGGTTAGACATTTATGTTTTTCTTTTTGGGGCATTTACATACATTTCACACAATTCTTATGTATTTCCATTTTCATGCCTAAACTTTCATATTTACACAAATAGCACTAAAATCTTTGATATCATATAAAAAAATAGAACTATTATCATATTTTAAATACATCTTGTCATGCTTAGATTTAAAACACGGAAGTGCTCTGTGTGTAAATATGAAAGTTTAGTTGTGAGATATGTAAATGCATAAGAATTGTGTGATAAGTATGTAAATTTCTTTTTTCTTTTTAGCATTATTTTATGAATGATCTGTAGTCATGAATGCGTGTCTTGAAATTCTTATGTTATTTTCTTTATGCTCCCAGGATTAAATTACTACTATTCAGCAGCAATGCTATAAAATTCTATTTCTGTATGTTTTTCGGGCTTCGGAATTTTTACATCATTGTATATTAGCAATAATAGCTTTTCTGATTCTTAATCGCTATTGCTTTTGTTTTTATGAAGATTTATGTACATACGATTAAATTCCTATGTATTTACATATCAAACACCTAAACTTTAATTTTTACATAAATACCAAATTACCTAGTATGAAAACTTGCATCTCTTTTTAAAAAGTTAAAATGGTGGTATTTTTTATGTGATATGAAAGAGTTGGGTGGTTTAAATGTAAAAAATAAAGTTTATTCATAAACACAATAAAAAATGTTAGATATTTAAGTGCATAGGTATTTGTGTAATGTATGTAAGTGCATAGGTATTTGTGTAATTGTTGACCTCATTTTTAGTGAGGTCTTAGTCTCCTACTCTTAGAACCTAGGATCTAGCTTTAGGAGTTCTTATTGACCATCCTAGTGGACTAGCGATGGAGCCCACCTTCCGTAGAATTTCAAGCCACTTCTTGACTCATTTTTGTGAAGAACTCTCATGAGTGGTTCCAAACACTCAACTTTTAGTTGCAAGTGCTCAAGACCAACATGTAGAGGGCCCGAAATTGAGTTCCTATAGGATCAACAGCCTTAGGTGAACCCTTTGTGACTCGATTACTCGCGAACGCCGCTTTTCACGCACTCACTGCATCACACACGATTTTGGCTTAAATTGACTCGCCCGTCAGCAAGCTCATTCGGACGACCCCGGATGACGAAACGGACCGCGCCGACGCGTCCGGAACGTCGACTTTAGCTAGAAAGGACACTCATATTGCTGTGGTTCCACACTCGCGCGAACTGCACGGATATCGATGCACTTTTTTTTAGCGGTGTGCGGGCCCGGGCTCAACTCAGGTCCGACGCGAGTTTGATTCAGGCTGGACTCGGGCTGAACGCAGGCTAGGCACCAGCTCACCTAAATTTGAAATTCAAATTTCAAAATTCAAATGGATTATTTAATTTTTGTCTTAATTAAGATTAATTC